AATACACCCTCCAGAATATTTTCGCGATAATATTCGGCGTATTATTCTGATGTCACGCTCGATTAATATGAGCGGCACGAATTATTGGCCTTCAAGCGGCCAATGAAATCGTCACACGCTTCCCGAATGTTGCTCTGCGGTATTTTGGCCCATTTTCGGCGAAGCGTTTGCTTGAGGTGATCGACTCTTTGGTATTTTTTAGTGGCAACCTTGCTTTCCCAAATACTTCAGACACAATAGTCCAACGAATTGGTATCCTGTTGGAGTCCTGTTGGAATGTCCAATGTCTGCGGCCAAAATGTTTGCGTGCCCAAGGCTTTAATACACCCTCCAGAATATTTTCGCTATAATATTCGGCATTTATTCGATTAATATGAGCAGAGAGCGTACATCGGCTGTTATGGCGTCCCACACCATCACCACGGCCGGCGCTTGAGTTCTGGTGGCCAACCGAAGGTGCACTTTTTCAGCTGACCTCTTTGGCAAGTAAACACGATCATTTTGTTTGTTTACAAACTACTGGACCACGAATGTTTTCTTAGCGGAGGAAACCAAATTCGACAGTTCACCACTTTCGCCCAAGCGAAGCAACTCTTTAGCTCTTTTGAGTCTATTTTCTTTCTGTTGCGGTGCGTGTTCTTGCACTTTTTGGAATTTTAATGGCTTTATCCCGAGCTCAATTTTCAATATTTGCCGAATGGATTATTGCGATATGCTCAGCTCATTAGCCATTTTTTTAACACTGCATGGCGGGATTCGATGAAGTCGCTTCTTTACCTTTCGAACCATTTCTGCCGATGTTGCTATTTTCTTCCGTTCACTTCCTTGACGTCGGGCTACGCTACCAGTACCACGGATCGCGGTAACGAGCGATGGTACGAGACACCAACGATTTATTCACATTTAAATGCTGGAGTGCTCTAACGATAGCCACTTGTGGTTTCCAGCCAAATATAAGGAAATCACACTATCACGCTTGAATTCCATCGAATAACTTTTTTTCTGAAAAATTCTCACCAAAATGCTTTTGTACGCTTGTAAAAAATATAATGTGCTGTCACTGGAATAATTTTAACAGCTGTCGGACGAGTGGCTACAGGTTGGTTACAGTTTTTTTTAAATCTCACCCTGTAGTCTCATTTAACATCTTCTTGGCCAATGTCTGGATAAAATGAACAATTTATGATTTCTTTCAAATTTAAATTCTCAGACTAAACTATTATGAAATTCAACCATAATTTGTAACAAGAAGCTCTTACGACAAAGTCTATAGCCAATTTTTGTAAGGATACAATTCATGCCATAAAGGCTACCTTGACCCCCCAAAAAAATAATAAAACCGAAGAATTTTTGATTTCCTTTTAATCGCATCATAATTCTGTCAATGGCAGTAATTTCGTTTCGATTCACAATTGAAATTGACTTTCCAAAACGAAAACTGTTTCCCATCATTGCCATTGAAAACAAAGGAAAACAAAAAAAGAGAACGAGAATCAAATCGGAAAAATCGTTACAATTAAAACCAGCAACGAGATTGAAAATAGTCCTGCAAGGATTTGAGCAATATACATCTGGATGATGGATTCAAAATTAAATTGTGATATTAACAGAATTGCTACACTTGAATAGAAACAGTTGATGGCAGATGAATGAAAGTACAAACGGATGGTTGGATGGATGGATGGCTGGTTGAGTTATCTATGCTTCAATGCCTTTTTTGTGGCCTTATTCGTTTTTTTTTCTGTGGTATTGATGCTGTCGTTGTAATCACTCACCAGGCCTTCAATATGCCACAGTTATTTGATGAAATTCCCTTTTTGCACAATTGAGTTGTGTGCCAAACATCATGGTCCGGATTAAAGTGGTTTGCTTTCAACAGGCATGTAAACACACAAAAACTCAAATATCCTTAACAAAGGATATTAAAACATTTTTTGTTGAATAAGATAGAAAGGATTAATCAGGATTTTGCTATATTAGAGAAAAAAAATGTTTGAAAGTCGATTTTAGAAGTGTCGCATAGTTTGCTAAGCCACTTTTTAATTAGTTGTATAAATTTCTAAAAGGATATGGGGCAACAAGGAATTGATTTTAAGGTTGCTGTATTTTAGAAATTCTAAATATGCATTTGAAATTTCTGCTGAACAATTCTCAAGGAGAGCACTTAAGAGTCCTTCAAAAAACATTTAAAAAAGATCCACGTTTATTGCTTTCAGAATCCTTGAGAAGATATACAGGCAGAGAGGAAAAAACAGCAACCAAATTCAGAATGCTGTCATTTTTAAGCCACTCGTCCGACAGCTGTTAACATTTTTCCAGTGAGAGCTCATTATATTGTTTACAAGCGTACAAAAGCATTTTGGTGAGAATTTTCAAGAAAAGAAGCTATTCGTGATGGAATTCAAGAGTGATAGTGTGATTTCTTTATATTTGGCTGGAAAACCACAAGTGGCTATCGTTAGAGCACTCCAGCATTTAAATGTGAATAAATTTTTTGTGTCTCGTACCATCGCTCGTTACAAGTTGCGTGTTACTGGTAGCGTCAAGGAAGTGGACGGAAGAAAACAGCAGCATCAACAGAAATGCTTCGAAAAGTATAGAAGCGACTTGATCTAAACCCATATTTCAGTTTCCGAAAAGTGGCTCGTTAACTGAACGTATCGGAAAATTCCATTGGGCAAATATTCAAAAATGAGCTCAGGGTAAAGCCATTGAAATTCCAAAAAGTGCAAGAACTTACACCGCAACAGAAAGAAAATAAACTGAAAAGAGCTAAAGAGTTGCTTCGCTAGGGGGAAAGTGGTGAACTGCCGAATTTGGTTGTCTCCGATGGGAAAACATTCGTTATACAACAGGTTGTGAACAAAACAAAGAAATGATCGTGTTTACTTGCCGAAGAGGTCAGGTGAAAATGTGCACCTTCGGTTTTCCACCAGAACACAAGCGCCGGCCATGGTGATGGTGTGGGCCGCCATAACAGCCGATGGTCGCTCTCCGCTCGTATAAATCCACCGTGGAATCAGAATAAATGCCGAATAATATCGCAAAAATATTCTGGAGGGTGTATTAAAGCCATGTATTAAAGTCCTTGAAAACATATTTTTAAAAATCCACGTTTATTGCCTTCATAGTCCTTGAAAACATATTTAAAAAAAAAAATCCATGTTTATTGCCTTCAGAGTCCTTGAAAAATTATTTAAAAAAAAATCCACGTTTATTTCCTTTGGAGTCCTTGAAAAATTATTTTTAAAAAAAATCCCCGATTATTGCCTTCAGAGTCCTTGAAAAAGTATTTTTTAAAAAAATCCGCGTTTATTGCCTTCAGAGTCCTTGAAAAAGTATTTTTTAAAAAAATCCACGTTTATTGCTTTCAGAGTCCTTGAAAAATATTTTTTAAAAAAAATCCGCGTTTATTGCCTTCAGAGTCCTTGAAAAATATTTAAAAAAAATCCGCGTTTATTGCCTTCAGTGTCCTTGAAAAAGTATTTAAAAAAAAAACACGCTTAATGCCTTCAGAGTCTTTGAAAAATTATTTAAAAAAAAATCCACATTTATTGCCTTTAGACCCCTTGACAAAAAATATTTAAAAAAATCCGCGTTTATTGCCTTAAGAGTCCTTAAAAAAGTATTTTAAAAAATCCACGTTGATGGCCTTCAGAGTTCTTGAGAAGACACATTTAAACAATTCAAGTTGATTGCCTTCAGACTTCTTGAAAAATATTTTTCAAAATTTCAAGCTAAGAGCAATCAGGGCTCTTGAAAAAAATTTTTTTTTAAATCGATGCTGATGGCCTTCAGTGTCCTTAAAAATTATTTTTAAAAATCTACGTTGATGGCCTTCAGAGTCCTTAAAAAATCCTCGTTGATTAATAAGTCTTTAAAAATGTTTTTAAAATATTGATTAAAAGTCCATCAAAAAATATTTTCTAAAAATCCTCTATTATTGATAGTCATTGAAAAAATATTTTTAAAAAATCCACGTTAATTGATAGTCCTTGAAAATATTTTTAAAAAATCCACGTTGATTGATAGTCCTTAAAAATATTTTTAAAAAATCCACGGAGATAGTTTGTCCTTAAAAATATTTTTAAAAAGTCCATGGAGATAGATTGTCCTTAAAAAATATTTTTAAAAACTCCATGTTTATTGATAGTACTTAAAAAATATTTTTTTAAAAAAATCCACGTTTGCCTATAGTCCTTAAAAAATATTTTTTTAAAAAAATCCACGTTTGCCTATAGTCCTTAAAAAAATATTTTAAAAAAATCCACGTTCATTGATAGTCCTTAAAAATATTTAAAAAAATCCACGTTCATTGATAGTCCTTGAAAAAATATTTTAAGAAAATCCACGTTTATTGATAGTCCTTGAAAAAATATTTTTAAAAAATCCACGTTGAGTGATAGTCCTTAAAAAGTATTGTTAAAAAATTCACGTTGATTGATAGTTCCTAAAAAATATTTTTAAAAAATTCATGTTGATTTATAGTCGTATAAAAAATATTTTTAAAAAATCCACTTCGATTGATGTCATTAAAAAAATATATTTTTTTAAAAATCCGCGATGATTGATAGTCATTAAAAAATATTTTTAAAAAGTTAACGTTGATTGATAGTCCTTGAAAAAATATTTTTAAAAAATTTATAGGCCTTGATTGATAGGCCTTGAAAATCCACGTTAATTGATAGTTCTTGGAAAAAATTTTAGAAATCCACGTTTAATTAATGGTCCTTAAAAAAAATTATAAAATCCACGCCGATTGATAGGCCTTAAAAAATATATTTTAAAAATCCACGTCGATAGTCCTTAAAAATATATCCCTTAAATCCACTTTGGATCCACATATTTTTATCTGGTATATTTTAATCAAAGACACAAACATTTCTCAGCTCAGGCACAAAATCTAGTAAATTTTGGTAGTTGGTACAGTATAGTAGTCGAGTTCCTTACCATGAAATCTGTTATAATCCACAATTCATTTTCTCCTCTTCTTTTCCTAGGTTTCCATCTACGCACACAATTCAATTTAGCGCAGTAAAAGAAGAACAAGCAAAATTTCCCCAACGCCATGGATATTGTTATACGCGAAGAGGACATCTCCTTGGCTCAGGTGGGCGTTTATGCATCGTTGTCCTTTCTGGTGGTTTCGGTCATCGGCTTTGGCCTCTATGCCACCTGTTCGCGGCGATATCGTTTAAATTGGTATGAAAAAACTCTCCTGGAATCAGCCGATGCCAAGGAGAGTGATGAGCAATGTCGTGACTCCTTGGTGGCGGCAGCTTCTGGATATAATGTCGACAATATTAGTGAGTGTTCTCGATCACTTGCCGGTGGCATTGGTGGTGGTGGCGGCGGAGGAAAAGGCAACATAACACCCTCGTCCATAAATACCGATGATACATCATTTTGGATACCCCCACCTTCGAAGACAATACAACAACAGGTTTCAACATCGGCCGATGAATCACCACCCTCAACACCCACCTCACCAACGGGTAGCATGAAATCGAATACGTTTTCCATAACTTCGTGTACATCTATACCCATAGCACGCAATGACAAGCATGTAGTACTGGCCATGGGTCCCAGTAGACCAAAAGTTTCGTCCATGAATGCCAAATTGGATCACACCAAAATTGATATGTCGTTGTATAGAACGGTTAGTGGTATTTTGGAGGATTTTCAGATTTTTTTAATTAAATTTTATTTTTTTCTTTAAGAAATCCCTGCAAAAAGATGGGTCGAAATCTGCCAACGATGAACAGAAGGGCAGTATTCATGTCAGCATTATTTATGACCCACATGCAGGCATTTTGTCGGTCCGTCTTATAGAGGTAAGTGAGAAAAAAAAAATAACTTTTTTTTTTAAATGTATTAATTACAAAAATAAATTTTCAGGCCCAAGATCTACAATCACGTCATCACAGTGGCACAGCTGATCCATATGCCAAAATCCGCTTGTTGCCGGAGAAAAAGAATTTCTGGCAGACCAGGATACACAAGAAGACTCTATGCCCAGGTAAGAGCAAACAAGTGAGAAGATATCAGTCGGTTTTGCTGGCAGATGTATACCCTCAGCCAAGGTTCGATTATTTAAATATATTTTGGCTTCTTTTTTGATTATTCACATTGTCGATCCTCTATGGAGTAGGTTACAAAGGAATGGGTCAATATTGACCATTTCGTGTTGGACCCGAATTCATATGATATAAATATTATAACGTGCCCGGTTTGGACCATATCGATTACTTCCTTCTCTTTATATGAAATATATGAAAAATTTTAGAGAATATTGAAATGTACTTGAGGAGATATAGTCGACCGAAATATTCCAATATATAAAAATTTTGGTACAAGAAAATCGAACATTATATGGAGGGCTCACTGCTATACCGAACCAAGTCATGAAAAATAAAAAATGCCGAAACTAGTGCCAATGTCCCCGCATGTGGCAAATCTATTTACTCTGCAAAGCACAATGTCAAAAAGTGTTTCGTTCCAAAGATAACGGTAAAAAACCTAAGTCAACGACTGTCCTTTTCGTTTTTATTCAAAGCAAAAATGAACCAAGTCAATGTGTTTCACTTTGAATCAGTACTATTAGTGAGCAAGTGCATATTGCCGTTCATTTTTCAGCAATATTAAAAAAACCAGTAAAGAAAGTCTTAAAGTCGGGCGGAGCCGACTTTGTGATACCCTACACCACTTTGCTAATTTAGTAGAGCTCGGCATAACAATTAAAACTTATTATGGGAGAATTCAATCATACACGCTATCATTATAATTAAAATTTAAGGTTCAAAGGACTAAATATTCCGAAGCATTTGCATGTTTTAAATTCGGACTTGTATTGCCCATTTGCACAATTAATTTGAAATCGGATAAAAGTATATATGGGAGCTATATCCATATATAATAATATATTTCTGAGCTGTATTTGATATATTTCCCCAAATATTGTTGTTACAGAGTGCACATTACGGCTGCGGAGGACAAAAATAACAAACCGGATTAAAAATATATATGGGAGCTATAGCAATATCTGAACCGATCTTCACCACATTTGACACACCAGCTTTTAGACTTAATTCGGTCGAAAGTGCCAAATTTCATCTAATTTGGGCAAATATTTGACGTTTGGTGCAAAATAAAAGATAAATCGGACGAAGTTATATATGGGACCTATATCCAAATCTGAACCGATGTCGATAAAATTTAGCAAATGTATTTCTGAGCTGTATTTGATATATTTCCCCAAACATTGTTGTTACAGAATGCATATTACGTCTGCGGAGAACAAAAATAACAAATCGGACGAACAATATATATGGGAGCTATAGCTATATCTGAACCGATTTCGATCAAATTTGGCATACTTATTTTCAGGTCCAATCTAATCGTACGTGCAAAATTCCATACTATTCGGGCTGATATTACACGTTTGGTGCACAATAAAAAGCAAATCGGACGAAGAAATATATGGCAGCAATATCTGAATGTTGACCGATTTCAATAGGATTCGTCCTTGGGCCAAACAAATGATTTGTGCAAAATTTCATCTGGATAGGGCAATAAATGCGAACTGTACTTTGTTTACAAAAATACATGGACAGACGGACGGACGGACATGCATAAATCGACTCAGAATGTGATTCTATGCAGATCATCAAAAGGAACTATGGGTCTATCTCGTTTCCTTTTACCTGTTAGAAGCAAATGCACAAAGACATAATACCCTTGTGGTGTAGGGTATAAAAACTAGTTAAAAGGTATGTATACCCTCAGCCATAGTACGTGGAGGGTATAGTATGGAGGGCATATTGAGTTTGTCATTCCGTTTGTAACACCATGAAATATATATTTTAGACTCTACAAAGTATATATATTCTTGATCAGCATAAAATTCAATGTCGGTTTTGCGATGTCCATCAATCGGTGGAAATCACTTTAGCTTCCGAGCCAATTGAGGTAGGTTGATAAAATTTTACTCAGATGTGTGTTTGGTCTACAGGGCGTTTGGTATTGAAAATGATCGGTATTTTGGTGACTTTCGTATTTCGTATTCAGAAATTTGATGTTTTTGCGATATTATTTACCGGATGTTTCCAGTTTCCCATTTAAATGTTGTAATGGACTATGACAAAACTTGCCTGTGCAGGTCCACGTTTTCGTATAGACCCCATATTACGGTAACTCCCCATATTCGCTATTTTTATAATTTTTAAAAGTACAATCGTTTTGAAAAGGTGAATAATTCCGGCAAAGTGGAAGCACAATGTGCGTAAGCTTCGCTGCAACAGTGGAAAAGCATACACAAATTATGATTGTGGATGCAAAATAAAATGTAACAGCCAGGTGAATGAATCTGACAGAGAAGTCATTTTGGAAACTTGCAGATTATGCAAAACAAAATGTATTTTTATTATAAAGTATTCAGCACGAAATTCTATTTACATTTTAAGTCTCCGAATAAGGATACCTGTCGAATTTGTGATGGACTTGACATGAGAATAAAATTCGATGGAGAAGAAAATACAAATTTAATTTGGCAACAGGAACTTCATTTAAAAGCAGCACAGCTAGCTCGAGACTCACTGAATACAGAAGTACCATCTGATGAACACTATATCTGTACTTTCGACCTTAAAAAAGCATTGCCTTTTCCAAAGCTATCAACATCAGTTGCTTATTACAAGCGGAACATCAACTATATTTAGTCATATAGCGAACACTTTATTATATATTGTTGACTTGGTTCGCTTTAGCTATGAAACATTCAAATTTTATTCAGAATAATAATGAACCAAAGTAGATTTTTTTGTTTTTAAATATTTTTTAAGTAATATATTTATATATTTTTGTTTTTAAATTTATATCATTAGTTAATTTTGAATATAGACTTTTACATTTTCTTTTAGTAGACTGAAATATTCCTTCTAGAAATTAATGGCAGTGCATTTACTTTACCTCTAAATATCTTCGAATTATGTTTTTATGACATAGTTCGGTATAGCTGTGAACCCTTCATATATTCCTCTCAGGTTTCTGCCTGTGAGAAATATTTATGTATAGCAAATTGTAAAGAATCGCTGTCTTGTTCCGCAAAGTTATGACAGATAAAAGACTTGAAAATTGTGACCCTTTGTGGGTGAGGTACCAGAAGGGGTTCACAGCTATATATCGTCTTCACAACAGATCTTGTGTTAGCAAAAATGTTTGTATGCCTGAAGTTTGAAGAGCGTTGAATTCTTATTAGGCTAACTTTGAACCTTGAATCCTACGGGGAGAGGTATCAGAAGAAATATTCCGATCTCTACCATCTTCAAAACAAATCTTGTGTTGATGGAAATATTGAGATGTACCAAGTCTGAATGGAATCGGATGTTAATTTCGCGTTCTATGACCTTCATAGATATTCCAAATTTTGACCCTTTGTGGGGGAAAGAGAGAGGACGGAGAGGACCGATACATCCCATCTTCACAACAGATCTTGTGTTAATAGAAAAAAATGTAATGTGTAAAATATAAAGAGAACCTGATGCATACTTCGGATTTTTTAAAAGTTTATGTTATTCAAAACTTTAACCCTTTGTGGGGGAGGTACCAGAAGGAAGGCTCCGATCTCTACCGGCTTTGTTACAGATCTTGTGTTGATAGAAATATTCAGATGTGCCACGTCTAAATGGAATCGGATGTTTATTTCGCGTTTTATGAGCTCATGGTTGTTCAAAAATTCGACTTTTTGTGGGGGAGGTACCAGAAGGACTGGGCCAATATATGCCATCTTAACACCAGACCTTGGATTAACACAATTATTGGGATGTGTGAAATTTGAAAACAATCGGACTCTTACATCAGATTTTATAAGAGTTGTAATAATTCAAAATTTTGAACCTTTGTGGGGGAGGTCCTTGATGGAGTGGACCGATATTGTTCATTTTCACACCAGACCTAGCACTGACGCAAATATTAGGATTTGCAAAGTTGTAGTAAAATCGAATTATCGTTTCTCTTTCTGTGCAGAGCATATATTTTTTGAAAATTACTACATTTTATGGGGAGGCCCATCTCCGAACTCGTTTGACAAAAATAATCTAAGTTTGAAAAAAATATTCCGATGTGCCAAGTTTGGACCAAATCGGATGCTCCCTTCGAGAGTTATCGTACGCACCAGCCAGCCAGACATCGCTAGATCGACTCCAAATGTTCTGATCTAAATCCGTTATTTCGATGAGGCAGATTTTGGCCGTATCAAATAGTCTGTAGCCAGATGGCTATGGGCATAAAAAGGATCTTCTCTTATCTTAATAAAGCGGTTGCGTTTCAAATAAAAAATATATTTTTCTAACATTAATCTACTTCCAGTTTTCGATGAGGATTTCGTATTCGAAGAGAGTCCTCAACTGATTGCCAAACGTACCATTGAAATACTTATCTACGATTTTGATGCCTACTCCCGGCACGTTTGCATTGGTGGAGCCCAAATACCATTGGCAAATTTGGATTTGACCAAGAAGGAGAAATTCTGGACACCATTGGGAGCTTGTGCCGAGCAGGTGAGGAAATTCTCTGCTTATGTTAGATCTTTAAATAAAAATAAGAATAAATTATATGTTTCTTTTTCAGGACATGAAAGTGGATTTGGGTGATGTAATGATTAGCTTGGCCTATTTACCCTCGGCTGAACGTCTGACAGTGGTGATAATAAAAGCACGAAATTTACGCATTGTTGATGATTCGCGTAACTCATCGGATCCATATATTAAAGTTGTTCTCATGATTCCGGGTAAAAAGAATAAGAAACGTAAAACTGGCGTTCTACGAAATACAACAAATCCCGTCTATAATGAGGCACTGACCTTTGATGTGGGCAAGGAGGCTTTGAAAAATGCCACAATTGAGCTGACTGTGGTCCACGATGGTTTGTTGGGTAAGAGCTTAATTTGAAAAGGACCAAGAAAAAATATTTGAATATTTTTTAAATTTATTTTAGGTTCCAATGAAATTTTGGGTCGTGCCATATTGGGCAGTGGCCCCGATGTACGTCCAGATGAAAAACTCTTCTTTGATGAAATGTTCCGTTCGAAAAATGCCACAGCCCAATGGGTGCCACTGCAGGATGTTAGCTCAACACGTTCCAATTAAATGTTAAAACCAATTGGAGAGTTGTAGCCACTAGCCGAAGCGATGACAAGAACCCCAACGATGAGGTGAGGTGTCTTTGATAGAGTCAAGCAAACCCCCCCAACCACATACAGTTTGATGGCCACTGGCTGTTAAATGTTGTTGAAAATGTTACAGCAACTGTTAACTATTAACATTGCACTGTTAACATTATTTGAATTTTAAAGAATGATTTTGGAAAACGAAAAACCAACAAAACAAGTTCAAAAGAAAAACAAGCGAGGTATTTGCAGGGATATTTTAGTGAAAAATAAAAACTATTTGAATGAAATTAGAGAAAAAAAATGATAACATTTTGAATTTAACGAAAAAAAAACTATTTCTATATATTGGTGGTCATTGACCCCCCATCTAAATATATTTAAAACCAAAAAAGAGAAACAATTAATAAATGTGCTTTAAATTTATATAAATGGAAATAAGCTACAAAATTATTGTTTGAATTTTCCAAAGAAAAATACAACCCGAAAATAAACAACAAATAAATATTATTGATGTTTCATATTTATACATTACATATGTGTAAACTGGTAGAAATCGAATAACCCCGAATTCAGAATCTATTTTATGGTTTATCTAAATGTCCATATGTACCTCACGTTTACATGCCTAGAAGTAAAACGTCAACATTGTGTGTAGAATCAAAAAAAAAGCACTTCCTGGACACAATGGAACAAGGAAGGTGAGAAAAAATCAAATGAAACAATTTCAGTATTTCGTCGATGTCATAACATTTATATTTGTTTTTTTTTATGGAATATTTAACTATTAGGAACAATTATTATATATTTTCGAAACGGAAAAAAAAATAAAAATAATAATAAAACAAATATTTGCCAGTCCTTAAGTATTTACATTTCATACATTACGGAAACGCAGACACATTTATCCTAAAAAACACATTTACCATATATATTAAACAAAAACTAATAATAAAAAACAACAATAATATTATTATATATTCTTAAATGTAAACATTTGTTTAAATAAAAATTATATTAAAAAATATATATTTTATGGAGTTTTGTAATGGGATGGCGGCTTTAGCAATATAGGAAATAAAAAAATTAAATATATTTAGGTATTAAAATCATTGGTGACTATACAGGGTGAAGTGCTCACAAAGAACTCCTTGTGTAGAATTTCAGACACTTTCCTTCCCAAAATGTAGCTAAAATCATCAAAATACCGAATATCGGGGGGTACCGTTATATGGGAGCTATACGATATTGTGGACCGATATAGCCCATCTTCGAACTTGACCTGCCTGCAGATAAAAGAGAGATCTGTGCAAAATTTCAGCTTCCTATTTTAATTCGTTTTGACTGTAGCGTGATTACAACAGACGGACTGACGGAGGGACAGAGCCAAATCGTCATAGAATTTTACGCTGATCAAGAATATATATACTTTGTTGGGTCTAATATTATTATTTCGATGAGTTACAAGCGAATGACGAACTTAATATACCTCCATACTATGTACGGTGGAGGGTATAAGAACTGCAACCAACTTCAGACTGCTGTCATTTCTAAGCCACTCATCCGACAGCTGTTAAAATTATTCCAATGGAAAACCACAAGGGGCTATCGTTAGAGCACTCCAGCATTTAAATGTGAATAAATCTGTTGTGTCTCGTACCATCGCTCGTTATCGTGATACTGGTAGCATAGCCCGACGTCAAGGAAGTGGACGGAAGAAAGCGACGAAATGTAAAAAGCGACTTGATCGAAACCTGCGTCGCAGTGGCCGAAAAATGGCTCGTGAGCTGAACATATCGCAATATTCCATTCGGCAAATATTGAAAAATGAGCTGGGGGTAAAGCTATTGAAATTCCAAAAAGTGCCACAACTTACACCTCAACAGAGAGAAAATAGACTCATGTTTACTTGCCAGAGAGGTCAGCTGGAAATGTGCAGCTTCGGTTGGCCACCAGAACTCAAGTGCCAGCCATGGTGATGGTGTGGGCCGCCATAACAGCCGATGGTCGCTCTCCGCTCGTATTAATCGACCGTGTCATCAGAATAGATGTCGAAACCGAATATTATCGCGAAAATATTCTGGAGGATGCATTAAAGCCTTGGGCACACAAAAATTTTGGCCGCAGACCTAGGACATTCCAACAGGACTCAGAACGCGCCACCCAAAAATGGTAAAAAAATGAGCTTCCTCCCTTCATTTCCAGCGCACAGTGGCAACCAAAATCTCCGGATACCAATCCGTTGGACTATTGTGTCTGGAATATTTTGGAATGCAGGGTTGGCACTAAAAAATACCAAAGTGTCGATCACCTCAAGCAAGTGCTTCGCCGGGAATATGCCAAAATACCGCAGGGCAATATTCGGGCTATAATTCGTGCCAAAGGTGACCAATTCGAATAAATCTAAACTTATTATAAAATTTGATGCTATTTCCGACATTTTTTACTTTCATTCAATAAAATTAAAAATTATCATTTAATATAAAGCCAATTCGCGGCCCTTCTTTCTTCTAATAATTTCTTAAAGCGTTTTATTTTTTTACAAAGAAAACATTTAAGTTACTTCTTTTTTTTAATTTTTGTCAAGATTTGCTTTAAAAAAAGGTTTCTGCAAAATGCATGTTTTTTGGCATGAAGTCCTTGCAAATGCTCGAAAATTACATAAAAAATGCGTGACATTTCGCCAGGATGATTTGGAAAACACCAAATATTTTGGTCAGGAAATCTTAAGATAAATTATTTTTTACCAGGAAATCTTCATTAATCCTCAATTCATATAATTCGGTAAGTTTTGAAAATAAGTTCTTTAAAATCCAGGACTCTTATATAGCCAAAAGTCTTTAAAACTATTTTCAGCAAGTAAGCAAAGACTTTATGTCATACAGCACTGCCCAGATATTACCCTAAGTTTTTTGACCGAGTGCATTTGCCCAATATTTACCCACTCCGTCGTGTTGTTAGTTGTTGTGGTCCATTTTACAGCTAAATATAATCCAATGGTCATCCAAAATGCCAGACTTCTTCCCTGTCCTTAACCGGCTTTTCAGGCAAAATTCTGTGTCGATTGGTTTGAATTGTGTGATCAGGAACCTTTTACTGTATTTGGTTCATTTGTACGCCTAAATATTTTGCAATCATCTCCAAAAGCAAGAGGGCCCTCTATATCTCGAAATTTAGACTCATCTCTACGATTTGATTGTCTACGATACTTGCCTATATTCGTCAACGAAATCAGCATAAAAACCAGGAGTTCGCCTTCTGTATATTTTGGATTTCACCTGTTGAAATTTTTTTTACACAAAAGTAGTGGCCCATTCTGTCCTAATCTTTAACTTCATGCGAGATTTCGTGTCCTTGACATTATCACCAAAAATAATAGGCTTCTATTCTGACTTTAACCCCAATTCCATGCAAATTTTCATGAGGATCGGGCCATTATTGCGTCCTGTAGCGTGATAGCAGGAACAAGGACACTGGACTAAGCTCGGCGAGATAGAAAGATCTATATACAGTTTCCTATGTCTTGGACCTAGGTCTTCAAAATATAAATGTGAATAATGTATATAGTAACTGATGTATCAACAGAGTTAGAGGACTGTTAAGTGGTTTGAAACCAGCTACATTTCGACTAATATCTAAATACGCCAATTATTACGAAAAATTCGATAAGACAGAGTCAAGACAGTAAAGATCTAAATGAGCCTAACAAGCAATAAGAATAAAATTATATTTTTGGCAATCACTTCTAAATAACATTGTGTAGGTATATTTGAAATTTATTAAGTTACTAATATTTATAAACTTACCAATAATTCTTGGCCTTCACCTTTTGGATCAACAGCTTCGAGCGGTTTTGATCTGCTTTGATCTCTACATTTAATTTATATATCATTAATAAAAGTTTATTTTCGATTAAAAGGCTGGAGGCCCATAGCCTTCATTCTTACATAAATCCTATTCTGGAAACGACACATTTCATTTGAATTTCTTTTAATTATATCCAAACGCACTTTTTATCGCACTGAATGCCAACCAATTTTTACAACATGAAAATTTTTTTTTTCTTAGAATTTCTCTGCTGAAACTATTCTTAATTTAATGAGTCCTTGCTTTTATTAATTTAGATTTTTAAAGAATTAATCCTTAGATTGCCTCCCATTTGATAATATTTAAATCACATTATCTTATTATTTAAAACACACAATTAAACAATCAATCTAATAAATATATTCTATTTTATAATTACTCACGGAAAAATACTCGTATTTTCTTATATTTTTCATTTAATTTGTATTTTTTACAATATTTGATTAACTTATTCGCTTAAGCACTCAAAAATATACCAATCACTTCTTCAATATTTTTAAGAGAAATACTCTTTTCTGCTTTCTCTCTCTCTCAGCATTAATGTGTTTTTTATTTCTATTTTATTTATTTATTTTATTGAATAAATTCACATTTAATCCCGACCGATTACCGACATTAACCATTTCCTTTTCAATACACACACACTTCCGTTTACGAATGCACCACACTTGAAAACGAAGAGAGATGATATTCATCAATACAAGAACTCTTTTGTTAAACTCTTAAAAACCGAACCGAAGCATCTCTTAAATCACATCATTCCATCTCATTTTGCATTGCATCTTTTTCTACGCCATTTTTTCGACTGTTTTTTGTGTTTTATACTGAATAAATTACAGAAACTATTTTATTTCATGCATTTCTTTATATTTTCAAAACACAACAGCATTAATACAATATTTTGTTTGTAAAACACTTGCATTATAATACAACACTTCTATTAAATTAAATAATTGCAAATTTCTATTAATTTAAGGAGATGCATGCCAAACACCCGAACGAATTAAAAGTCCAACGATAACTAACTCCAACTTTGAAGAAGGAGAACAAAAGCAAAAGTTTTTTATTTGCGCCAAAATAAATGGGAGAGTGGGCAATAGAGAGGATTACTGATATGTTCTCAATTCATAAGTGAGATCAAGAGATAATTAGTGTTCTAACCAGCGGTGCTCAAAACCGTGTTCTAGAACATGAACAGAAAAAAGAGATAGTTTAAGAGAAAATTAAAATTCTGTTTTTCTTTATATTTTACGATTCAATTTAATTATTTTTAACATGAATGTTTGCCTAAATAATTTATAAAGCAAATGGATAAAAAATATTTGTATAAATAATGACTTAACACTGTTTTGTTCTTGATTTAAATAAGCAAAGAGAAATTTGACTGAAAAGAGATATTTCTTTTTTAGCACCCCTGGTTCTAACTGAAAAGAGTTTGAAGAGGTTATGACGGCAATTGAAAGGAAAAGGAAGTGTTTTTTGTTATGCTTCGCGTAGTGTTGGTCAATGCAACAAATAAGAGATTATGAATCATAGTAGTAGTAGTAGTTGTTGTTGTTAATTTGCAGCATTTTCATCTAATGCATTCTGACTAAGGACAATTTAAAAAAATAAGCTATTAAATAAG